TCTAAATCTACCTTTAGTTTTGTTTTCAGGTGCACCAGTTTGAAGAAATCTTGCTCACCGCAAACCAAGTGGCCACCCACGCCATCGCCTGTTTTGACGAAATCAATTAACCTTTTCTTAAAACAAAAATTCTTTTATAGTTCTTTGAGACATACTTTGTAATATATTTACATTTCATTCAGACAAATTATTATTTAATATCTGAAAAAGAAACACAAGAAACTGTCCGTTTCCAATTTCCTGACTGCGACTAACCCCTTAAATTAAATATATATATATAAAAAGAACAGCCGGATATCGATCGACTGTAACAAGATATGAATCACAATATGTGACTCACGAATCGAAATGAAAGTGTTATCTAGCGCATTCATTGATAACTTACGACGTTTATTTTTCTATAAAAATACGTATCGAATGAATCAACGATGAGTAATTGAGATAATCTTCAGCGAAACTTGTCACCTCGATCTACAAAGAACTGGGATTTAACGATCAGAAGTTTTTTAAATGGCTACTTCGCGTATCGTCTAATATGGGGTACACAAAATATACATAATTTATGATGAGTATATTCTACAATCAATATAACGATACCGTTATTTCGTTTTGTATAAATGCACATACCTTTTGGTTATGTTTAACATGCTTCTATTATTTTATTAACTTGCATCATAAACGTATGAAATTTGATTAAATTCGAAACGTTGATTAATTACTAACAGGTTCTTGTCACATTGCGTGCTCCCTGCATCTTCTCAGCAATTACTATCGTTCTGTAGTTCTCAGTAATAAAAAATGAATCGATTCTGGTTAAAAATACCTAACTCGTTATTCAATAGTCCTTCAGAAATCATAGTTTCGCGATCGTTCGAACCGGTTGAAATTCGAGTTCGAGAAGGATCTCGAGTGACCCCGGAAGTGCAACGCAGCAGAAGTCGTCTTAGGGTTAACGAATCGTCGTGGGAGGAATTTTTGTTCGCGGGAGAAATTGGGAAATACGCGCGTGCGTGAGAACCGATATCTCGTCTAACATAAACAAACGTGTGACGTGCAATATTCGGTGCAAGCACCGTCTCGTCTGGCGTTGCGTGCACGCTCGTACGCGAGTCAAAGTTTATATAGGAGTAAGAAGGATTCGGAAGGAAGCGTGTACGCGAGCGTCACCTCGACAGGAAAAAGAGACACACGGGACACGAGCAAAGAGAGAAGGAAAGCATGGATCGCGTTTACGATACACAAAGACGCTGGAACGCGAGCCACGGGACCTATCCGTGGTATATCGGAGGAAACGAGAACGAGAGCGAGCCGACGAACGCGTGAAAGAGACGGTGAAATGAATGGCAAGGACGAAACGGGGGAAGGCAAAGGAACTGCGAACGCGTTTCGAAATATTCGATGAAAAATCGTTACTGAAGCCCTGCCCCCCGTATGACTCGTATCTGGTTGTAGGTACATTCCCTTGGAAAATTTCGACTCCGAAAACATCGAAGAAAGACCGAACGATCGGAGTCTGAGCGCATCAGGATATTCGCGGCTATCGGACACCAGGTCGGCCGTGTTCTACGAGGCGTAAACAATGTTCAAAGACAAAAAGAAATCGTACTCCAACTCGACTCGACCCTCTCTTTCTTTCGATGCTGTGTCGTGTACGTGGAACTTACTTCATGTTTGTTTGGCTTGGAAGCGTATGCTATGCCTTCATGCAAGCCGTATTCCTGCTTCTGCACAGTATATCACCGATTCCATGAAAACACGCAAGATTCGGACAAGATTTACGGTAGTTCGACATAAATAACGTACAGCACTAACACCACCCCGACACCCTGCCTATGCACCTCTGGTCAGCCATATTGCCGACTCCGGGTCCGTATTCCTACCACCCTTCGTCTTGATGCACATGTCTACATAGAGGGAATACTCCAATCGCAACAGTTACCACGTTCTACCATTTTTCTCTGCGCTCGTTTTCCATGTTTTCGCATTTCGTTCATCCCAGTTCATCCTATCCAAAATCGAACGAACTCTAAATTGCGATTTGATTTGTTCGTGCTGCGAATTATCAGTTGATTTTTACAGTGGGAAGCGTCTGTCTGTCGCTTGAGATAAAGAATCCTGACGAACGTAATTATTACGCAATTGCAAGGTCGATTATCGATCTATTAAATAAAATTGTTTATCGATCTATCGAGGCTCGGTCGATAAACTCAGGTCTGGCTCAAGAAGGTCTGGCACTACGTGATACTTCCTTAGGGCTGCTTTATATTATCAGATTATTGCACGGACATTATGTCCGTGAAATGTTTACAACGTTTACAACCGTGTTTAACAAATATTTAGAGAGAAAATATACCGTCCGTGCGGTTTTATTTTTAAGGACTTAGGGTTTTATTGGCGTTCACGCCGCACGTGACAAGATTATTAGAACTGCGTGTGACTTAGTCAGGAATAAGTTAATTTAAGATAAAATAAGAAATGTAATATTAACTTTATTGTAACAGTTTGAATATAACTAATTTTACACAAACGTTGAATTTCTTTACTTAAAACACAAACTTTTACAATAGACGTCTATACTGGTTAACGGTCGCTATGCGAGTGAGTATTAACAAATTGTTTTAAATAAAATGCAATCAAGAAAACGAAATACCGTAAATACAGGAAAATCGTAATTGGAGCTAAACTAACTTCAAACAGAACTGCCAAACGCAAAGGCTCATTCACATTCCCATAACGACGGGAAAACGGGTCTCCGCTCTGCCATCTAGGAATGACATAGGAATTAATTTATCTCTATCAAAAGTAGCGGTACGCAACAAGCATTGAGCTCTATCCTAACTGAAATGTGAACTCCTGTAGGAAGAAGTAGAGACGACGGAGGTCCGAGAGAAATGCAAAATGGGTGGTTCCGGTATTATCCTATAGCAAATTTATTTGTAGAGGGGGAACAAACGTACGCCGTAATATAACCTACCTGAGCATCGCTGTGCATTGTCAAGTGAGTTACTTTCAGATTCTTTTCCGCATAAAATTGGATAAATACAATATAAATTGAATTGTGACAAATAATAAAATTGAGGTCTATACCAAATTGTATATTTTGTATGATCTAAATTATGGTATGTAAATTATGTATACTATTTCATTATTATGTCATCATTATTAATGTTTCTATCGTTTTATATATAAATAAAAAGGAAATGAAGTTCAAATCTGTACATAATTAATCTGTAAATAATTCCTAGTGCCGCGTAATTCAAACAAGGAGGAGTCTGTTCTCCCTCCACACATAAATTTGCTATAGGATAGTACCACCGAAACCACTCATCTTGCATCTCTCTCGGACCGGCTTCTCTCTCGCAGTTCACACTCCAGTTAGGATAGAGCTCAATGGCAAAAAGATACAGAAGAAACAGTACATTCATAGCATTGTGCAGAGCCGGCTTTAGCAATATTGGCGCCCCGGGCAAGATTATCGTGGCGTCCCTTCTGAGGCTTAAAATTGTTAAGAAAAGAAGACAAGGTAATAATATCAAAGGATGAATCTGTAGCTAGATTGTAAAGATTGTTAAACTACAATTATATAGCAGCTTTACTAATCTACACCGGACTGCGCCACCCCCTTAACGCCGGCCCTGACATTGTGTAATGATATTAATATTTGGTTTCATTAAGTGCTCTCCATACTTCTTTAATCCTAGTGCACTTTGTGTATCTATAAAAACTACTCAATAATATCTACAAATGCTACTAATGAACTGAATTTAATTAAACATCTAGCGGGAAAACGTCCAAGTTTGTCGTAGAATAGTTCCTTTTATTCTTGGTAGATGGCGCTATTTTCTATGTTTTTGTGGGGTTACGTATTTTCCAAACAGCTCTTTCATTCTATTTATTAATCTTGTTATTAATGTTATCGTTTAAATAAATTGTCATTATTGTTCATGTTCGGTGTTAGTTTGCATTTATAATTCTTTTATGTAGTATCCCTACAATGTTCGTCACCATCTAGCGTCACGAATAAACACTAAATTTACTACAAACTTGGGTATTTTCCCACCGATGGCGCCACTAGTATTAATGTTTAATGTTTGTTTATTAAAATGTGTATGAACTCCTACTTTGCACTGTCTTTTTGTACATTTGTTTAACAATACCCACTAGTATTAAAACCAGTATTAGTATAGTTTAGTGATTGGTTACTACCAGGAAACCGTTGCAATGGTCATTTGTAAACTCACCTGCTCGCTCGATTCGGTTCAATTCGGTTGCAAGTTACGCGATTGTTCATCCCGTATACTTATTCTGCTGGCCTGGGGAATATTAATTTAGTTCTTGTTTGTTGAGAAAGTAGTTGGTATTTCATATTGGAAATATAATAAATAACAAATATTACTTTTAATGTAAAATGCAACTCATTTATTAAGGCAACTTTTCCGAAAATTGCATGCACTCAATTTACGGATAAGCTTTCTTTTACAGATTTCGTAAAAATTAGATTTTTTAAAGATCTTGTATTTTTTAGGATATTTTTATTAAATCATTAAGAATTCTAATTCACTTATGTATATATTATTATGCAACAATAAGTTAATATACAATAATGGAAATATATATATAATAAAAAACACGAAAATTTACTCGTTCAAAAGTTCTTCAGAATTTAATATATAATACAATGGAAAATATTGTCATTCTTTAATTTTGTATGTAAACATTTTTAAATAAATTATGCCTTAATTAAAATTTAAATTACAATACTCGATAAAAAAGAAAAAAAAAGAAAGTAATAAGTTTAATGATACATAACTTATCCGATTTAACGCAAACAATTTTGAACATTTATAATAATTGTAATACAAAAACAATTGTATTAATGATTTCTATTTTTCTATATTAAAATATACACTGCCTATGTTAGATACATGTCGTATTCAGAAAATGTATGGAATTTCTTTTCTGGTCGCTAAATGTTGCACATAAGTCTTCCAAGAACTGCAATAGAAAACAAGATTTTACAGAATAGTATGCAGTCTTTACTTTTAAACTTGCTCCATATCTTCTCATTCATCTGAGCTTTATTAAGATAAATCATGTATAAATAAATTGCTTCTTTCATAGTTTACGTTCATATTATTTCATAGTTAAATTAAATATTTAACAAAGTATCAATTCTTATGTCGTTTCCTCTGTTTGAAAAGTTAATCGGTATCCAATGCTACCCGTTCCTCTAAATCGCGATCAACCTTCAACTGTGATCTTCCTTACGCATAGGAACTACTTGGCAGCAATCCTGGAGATGCGAAACTCGTCTAACAGATACAATCTATCCACGAATCTCCTCCGCACCCTTACACACTAGTAATTATCCTAAGTATGCATTTCATCCTTTGTTTTAATGGACAAGAATTGATGTAACGATACAATTGATTTTCAACACGAAATAAAAATTGTTACTAAAATTGAAATAAAGACGAGCATGGCGCTTAACGAGCATTACAAATTTGATATATCACTCTTTAATCTTTTCGGCATACTATAAATACCGTGGAAAAATCCGAAAAGTATAGAGTGTCGCACTTAATCTCGCAAACGATGGATGGTAAACGAAACGATTGACGTTTCAGCGCCTTGCTAAGATGTGTAAAGAGCGATATAAAAAATAATATTTTATTTAATCCTTAGGGACGAAATTAGGAATTGTATTATGTTTAATGAAAAAAATGTTCTAGACTATGTCGTGATGTTTTTAACGTTTTCCATTATTGTAATTAGCAGCCCGCAATGGTGCTTTAAACGTTGATGCAGACTGTTGCTGAATCTGGTACGCTAGATGATGAATTTTAAAGCCGTATAACCTGTTTTAAAAATATTTAATTATTCATTTAATTTTATAAATCTATCTTACGTATATTATATTTAGTATGTTTCATGCAAAAGAAAAGACTACTTACCTAGGTATAAACTGATTAACTGGACGTTTTGGTCGATACTCTGGATGAACCATGAAAAGCATATGTGGAAATCCTGTTCCAAAATATGCTCCGTCAGTGTGATGATGTCGCGTGCTTTTTGGCGTGTAAACATCCATACATTTAGGGCAATAACTTTTGACCATAGATTCCCCGGGAACATCGCTAAGACCTAACGGCAACATGGGCTGGGCTTCACAATAAACACGTGGACAATAACCAAAGTCACCGGCTTGATATTTTTCGATCATTTGAGCAATGCCACGATTGGTGAGAATATAACGAGCATGGATCAACCCGTAAAGCAATTCTGCCGCTTGTTCAACTAATTCCGACTGATTCGGGTGACCATCCAATTCATCATCTACGACGTAATAAGAGTCTTAAAAGCAATTTTGTTGTTTATCGACTATGTACTAATAATTAATTACCAGGTTCTAGATCGAGAATCATATCTAATGCTTGTCTATAATGCGGTACTTGCTCGTTTAGTCCAGTCAAATTAAACTTATCTTGGATATAATCCTCGTCGACCTGCAAAAATTTTACGTTAACCTCCATAAATAACACAAGAAATACATAACATTCTTTACGAGATCATACCGCCTTAGAAGATAGAAACTACGCTGTGTTTCGTAAAAACAAAGTATTATATGAAATTCTATAATGCGATTACGGATACCGCTTTCGGCAATCGAACATAGAAAATTATGTTATTTCTCTGCACCTACGGTATACTTTTCTATCCAAATCGAACTCAATTTATATTATTGCGACAATATCAACCGTACGTTTCAAAGATTACTCTGAAGTTTGCTACTCCGCGCGTATCAAAAATAAAAGAAAGAACAACAATCATAGCAGGTCCAGGTGCGAACACCAACGGGGTTAACCTCGAAAGAACAGATTAGGTTTCGTGGGTGCAGGATGTATCAGAAACGATAACACGAGATATCTAAATGCGTGCTTACCTCGCAAAAAAACTCATTGCCCCTGAGGTTGCAAAACCACGAAATCCAGGATACCTCCTCGGAACTGCTCATTTTCCTGTGGACGAATAAACAACGGTAGAAAGGATATCCCTTTGTTAAAGACGGTCGCCTCGCCGCGTTAAAAGGACGCAGGGCGCAAGGCGCGCGTGTAAAATGATGCGTGAAGATGCGTGCGCGAAAAAAGTTCTCTCGATAGCTGGGTGTTCAGTATTATTTCACACACGTATATACACGTCGGTGGACTCGGTGCACGCCTGGCAATTGGTTAGAAAGGCGCCAACCAGAGAACGAGGACGATGACGGAGACGGGGGACGGGGGTGGGGTGGGGGGGGGGGGTTGTTCAGAGAGCAAGGGGGAAGAGCAAATGGAGTTTTCACTTTACTAGGCAAGATGCTCGACGTTACGGCCTGTCCGGCGAATTCACCTACGTTTCCGTGGTCATTGCTGCTTCGTCAACTGATTTTCAAGCACGGCGTACAGTCCGACACGGCCAGGAAGCACATTACTCGAGAAAAAGCCTCGCAGGACGAACGAAAACCCAAAAATAAACAGCCCTTACGGCTTACCTTTTGGTGCTTTGATTAGCCACGCTTGCTCGTCCCGACGATGTAGGTAGCGCTGTCGTACTTCATTCTATCCGCCACCTTCCGGCTCTTTCTCGCGAATTGCTCTTATACTTTTCAACTTTTATTTAATCATTTTCAACCAGAGATCAGCCACTTTTATTAGATGTTAATTCAATAGATGTTAATTCATTTACGAAGCGTCGAATAAACATCAAAGCGATCGAACCTTTCGTTAAATTATAACGAGCATCGTATTACGCGATCTCGAGTTACGCGGTACTGTCTGTACTACACGCCTCCTTATACATATGTTTATGCATGTATGTGTATGAATTGTATTATTTTATTGTTGTATATATGCATCTAATATTTATTCATGTGTCCATATATCGAATAAAGTTTTCCTTCTTCGGTATATTTTTCTTAATGAAATACAAATAGGTCCGTTCCTAAGTTTGTTACATTCGTAAACAATTGTTTTTTCTTTTTATCGAGGAAGTCCAAATTAAAGTGAATTTTGAGAAACGCTAACTTACCGTATCGGAGATTTCGTAAGAGCACGGTTGTTCGTTTCATCGACCAATAAACGATCGATGCGTTTTCCAATGCACTATTTCAGTCCCAAATACTTTATAACTTATTATTATTATTATTACTATTATTATTATTATTATTATTATGCTTCGGTCGAAATAACACAAACAGTTCTACGGTTTATTTTTCTTTCAATTCCGATAAAAGCTTATTAATCCGTCCAAGTCGTAAGAATTTAAAACCGATTTGCATATTACGCTAACATCACGTGACTTGCTTGCTTGCTTCTTAGCAACCTCAAACAACGCGAACTAGCAATAAAATACAATCGCTATTGAGAAATTTTTTTCTTTCAACTTTGCTTATGCCGCACGTTCGATCACGTTCAAAAAGTGCGATAGTACCATATTATACTTAAACGAATGTTTGATATCATGTTAAACGTTCTCGAGATCTCGTCTCGTATTTTATCTATGTTTACGAAAACATGGATATCGGATTTTCTCTGACTCATTTGCTATGAGTAAAAAGCAATCAGCATAATGAGAAAATATAACAAATAAATTAACTTCGTAGCAAATCAGACATTTATGGAGTTGGAAATGTAATCTAAGTGATATGTCAATGAACTGTAAATAATGTACAGTGGAGTCATTAGTGAATAACTGGGTAAAGCTAGGTGGAGTGCAGAATGTAGAAGATAATTATACATACATTTTCTTATCAGTTTTAATAATTCTTTTTAATTGTAATTTATGTTGCGGAAGGTTTACATCGGTTAAGGTACGTGCAACCTGTAACAGATGTTTTTACCATTGTTACAGTAATTAATTTATCCAGCACAACTACTTTCAGATGCATATATGGTTTTGGTTTGGAAACAATTTAGGTAGTTTCCTTTTACCAGGGTATAATGTTGTCACGACAACAAGCCTAGTTTGCACCTGTTTGGGTTTAACTGCGCTTGCTATACTGTACGAGGGTATGAAGATCTTGCATATAAAAATACAACAAACTACTATGGTCCTCATACAAAATCAAACAGTGAGAACATCTGAAAACTCTTCCTTGTTATTAAAAATATCCTCGCGATCTGTTAAAAGGCAGTCTTCTTTACGTTGGTATGTGATATTCCATTGCTTTGTAAATTAAGTATGTAAAATAAGGTTATTTACTTTAAGTTGACATTATATGTTCGTTCTTAGTATACGTTGCTCCACTTGGAGTTTTCAAGTGTTTCATTGGTTTATACATACGGTTCTTGGGTATATTTTAATGTTGGCTGTTATGACATATAATGTATATATTAATATCGCTATCGTATTGGGAGGAAGCCTGGGATATTGGATTTTTGGTCCTAAACTTATAGAACTTAACATGGCACGATTTTATAAGAGACAAAGATTATTGGAATGCGACAAAGAATGTGCAGGTAAAACTCAAAATATTGTTTAATAAGTTTCTTAGATATTTCACAGTATTTATGGTAACTTATAGACAGCATAGTAAATCATCAAAGACCAGGGTCAACAGTGTCTATTGTCGCGGAACAATTAGTAACAGAAGCTACTGTTGAAGTTCACGTACCAAGGGATGCTTGAACCATACTTTGATATGTATGTCTCTAGTACCATGAATAGCGATTTACTATTTATTGATATATGAACTATTTTATTTTATATACACATATTGTATATAAGTGGAATAAATAAATTGTTATATTAAAATTATATCGGTTACAAAGAAATTAGTTTTTTGTTTGGTTCCTGTAATACTTACGCTCGTTTGACAATACAAAAAAATCAAATTAACTTTTCTGGTTTGTAATTATCTTTACATCTATAAAAATGTATATTGTATCTTTACAATTGGAAATTATTTTCCTCGCTTATTTCAAATAAACGTCTGTAACATGAGTTATTTAGAGATAAAAAGTGCTCATATGGATTCTTCGAAGTGATGTGCGTTCCACACAGCCAGCAAAAGTCAGCTTTGCAATGAATACATCTCATTTTATTACATCCATCAATTTTTACAATCATAGTTTGACAATTTGGACAAGTTTTAGCATTTTTCTATAAATCAAACCATTGCGTTATGTAACTTAACATCAAATAAATTGTACATTTAGTATATATTTGCAACTGAAAACATACCTTTAAATATTCTTTTGCTAAGTGGTTTTCTACAACTCTTTGTATTTGTTGTCTCCCGTATTTTTTTCTCAGTAATTGTTTTTGGTCGTTATTAGCATTTTTATAATCTTCTATTAGCTTTTTTATTCCCCTTGATATTGTAAAACATGGTTCAACTCCATGATATACCTAATACACAATTTACTGAAAACGATTGGCTTTAGCCTGTTTGTCGAAATATAAAATACATACCTTGTAACAATAAATGCAAAAGGCATAATCGCATTTGCTACAAATTGCCAATGTATCGTCAGTATTCAATACGAGAGGACATTGACATGAAATTCGAGGGCAAAAAATAACATCATTCATAGATTTTAATGTTATTTGCAATAATAAGCTTTCGTACTTTGAGAATAGATCTGGACACAGATCTTTGATGTCGTTAAATGCTATCGAAAAATTACAATTAGAACTAGGACATGTTATATCGCCTATGGTACCCTCATTAATTGTTATGGTAATATATTTCTGCATACAGTTTTTGCAGTAAATATGACTACAAGTTTCAAGTTTGATGCATTCTTTTCCTCTGAATTCTTCAAAACAGATAGTACACATGCTGTAATTTTTTTCAAATTTAAGCGTACATCGCTGTTTGTGATAATTTATTAAAAATTGTACCGGATCGGAAAATAATATACTGTGTACAGCTCGGATATCATTTTTGAATATTAAATTCAATTCAAAACAACTTGACAGATTTTTATATATCATGGACAAATATGAAACATCTAAATCATCTTTGATGCGAAGAAAATTAAGAAGATCATGTTTTAAAAATTCAAACCATAAAAATAATATTTCTTGTCCCCTGTTGTGTAGCCATATCTCGTCTAATTTTTGACAAATAAAAGATATTTGCCAAGGAGAAAGCCACGAAGATATAATATAAAAATTTGGTGGATTTCTAGAAGGGTAATCATCAGGTAATCGTAGATACATCCTAACAGGTGGTAGATATTTTATAAAATAGTTAGAAGTCAAATGAAATTCAGATTTTTGATCTTCTTTATAAATGTTTCTAAGCCTTATTAAACCATCACTAACATTAGGAAAGACATTATAATAACACTGCATTATACCTTCCTTTACATATGAAAATTCATAAAAGTTATAAATATTCGAAAGTATTAACATTTCACTTTCTTGTCGATCTTGGTTACAACTTTTTTCTTGTAACATTTTTTATTATAAGGCTATAAGCCCTCTGCAGTTCTTTGCTTTGTCTTTATGACTGTTTCAACGACGTATTGGAAATCGTGTTTATATACAAAGTGTCCCAAAAGTCGGGGAGGAGCCGGAAATGGGGAGTAGCTGAGACGATTCTGTACAACAATTTCCTTTGCAAAAATGTCGGATGGGGCTTCGTTAAGGAGATATTAAGAGAAAACCCCGACCAATCAGAGCGCGCGTAGACCGTTGGAGCGGCCGCGGTAGCGAAGGCTACGCGCTGGCGGCCGCGCTTGTACGCGAACAAATGACTCGACGTGCATCGAAGGATATTGACGCTGCCGCCCAGCGCGTAGCCTTCGCTACCGCGGCCGCTCCAACGGTCTACGCGCGCTCTGATTGGTCGGGGTTTTCTCTTAATATCTCCTTAACGAAGCCCCATCCGACATTTTTGCAAAGGAAATTGTTGTTCAAAATCGTCTCAGCTACCCCCCATTTCCGGCTCCTCCCCGACTTTTGGGACACCCTGTATAGTATTGTAGCTATAGCTACATTCATATTTCATACAGTAGCGCGAAATTGTGAAATAATTCCCGTTATATATAAATAACCTTTATTTGTAATTACTATGGAAATAAATTGGTAACGGGATTAATCTATATAAATTTAAAAAGATAAACATTAGAACGAGAATAGTTTCTCTACGCTTCAAAATTTGTTGATAAACTATGCAAATATTTTTACCTTATCACGATGATAATCAACTCTACAATTGCAAGTGTTAATCGTGATTTCGAATAAGATATATATGTGTGTATATATGCGATAATATATCAATAATAAACGAATTATCTATCGTACAGCGACTCTTATTTATCCAGAAATATAAACAATTTAAAAACAGGTGATAAATTCATAGAATAGAAGCAAATTTATAGTTTGCGGATTCGGTTCTTTCAACTAGAGAAACTTATCGCAAATAATTAAAATTATTTATTATTTATTTACGGAAAAAGAGCGATTAAAAATGTATTGACATTGCACATGTTTTAATGTACAGGTGATACAGTATACGTAGTGAAAGGGCGCACCACAAGTTACAAAACAAAACGTTTGTAGGTTTGTACCACAGAAAGTCGTGATTCGTGATACAGATATAAAGAGAAATTAAAATTATTTAGAAAAAATGGGAGAGGTCACAGCCAAACATACTCTTCACAGCGGGATTTTTCATCCTATTTTACGTCAATGGCAATCACCAAATGTAGAAATTACCGTTAACAATCTTATGTATCCGATATTTATTTCGTAAGTACGATTCATAACCTACCGCTTTCGATTATAATCATATATACACGCATGTGTATATTTATACATACGCGTTATGTTCATATGTGTTTAACTATGTGATTTATTCAGTCTTATCTAAATGTAACAAATTAAGTAAGCGAAAAGATAATTTGATCTTTTCTGAAAGTAATATTTTATGTGTTACATAAGAATTTAAATGAACATATCGAAAAATATTAAATGCATGCAAATTGTAGTTTGTAACATTTAACACATTCGTTTCTGTTTAGTCAATATAGATACTATATTTTTTCAGAGACGAACAAGATGCTAAAGATCCAATCGCTAGTATGCCAGGTGTCTATCGACATGGCATTAATCAATTACATAAAATGTTGGAGCCATTGGTTTCCAAAGGCCTACAATCTATATTATTATTCGGAGTATCGAAACACATGAAAAAGGTAAATTGTATGTAAATGAAATTTTAAGAGAAATTCTTTTTGAAATTCTTTTATATTTTCCATAGGATCACATCGGAAGTAATGCAGACAGTGCTGAGAATCCTATTATTCAAGCTGTACCTTTGATAAGGCAGTGGTTTCCAAGTTTGTTAATAGCATGCGATGTTTGTTTATGTCCGTATACTGTTCACGGGCATTGTGGAATTTTAAACGATGACGGGAGCATAAATAACAAAGCTAGTATTTTACGAATCGCAGAAGTTGCTCTTGCTTACGCGAAAGCTGGTGAAATTGTCGTTCCCTAGAAATATCTTTACCAACATTAATCGAAATACTGTGTATCGAAACATGTTTCATTTGTATTTTGCATAGGAGCGCAAATTGTAGCCCCATCCGACATGATGGACGGAAGAATAGGTGCGATAAAACAAAAATTATCAGCGGCTGGATTAGCGAACAAAGTAGCAGTTTTATCTTATGCCGTGAAATTTGCATCAGGATTTTATGGACCTTTTAGAGATGCATCACAGTCGGCACCCAAGTTTGGAGATAGAAAATGTTATCAATTGCCTCCTGGAAGTAACGGATTAGCTGCTAGAGCTGCTGTTAGTACTACTGTATATTCGACTTTCTATATACCGTTATTTTACTGTATTAAATTATATGTGCGAATATTTATCGATCGAAGGCTAGAGATGTTTCTGAAGGAGCCGATATGCTTATGGTGAAACCAGGTCTACCTTACTTGGATGTTGTTCGGCACACGAAAGATGCGCATCCGGAATATCCGATGTTTGTGTATCAGGTTTCAGGAGAATACGCTATGCTTTATCATGGCGCTAAAAATGGTGCTATCAATTTAGAAAATGTGTTAAACGAAGTTCTTCTATCTATGAGAAGAGCGGGAGCCGATTGTATTATAACATATTTTACACCATTAATTTTAGATATGTTACAACCGAAAAGCAAATATTAAAGATATTTGTATGTTTGACATGTTCATAGAGTTTTAATGGATATTTTTCGAATAAATTGTTAATAAAGCAACTAAATCGTGTAATTTTGTCAGCAAACAATTAATAAAGCTGTGTTGATAACGGTAAATACCGTACGTATATATACATATGGACATTTTTTAAGAAGACTGAGAAAAATGCAAGGTTTATATCTATAACGGAATGATAAAGCTTATTCGACAATATCTTTTTGTGGGTGTACATATACTTTTTTTTTCACATTTGATAATGACAATTGTCTGAAAATATTTTCACGTGCAACGTGGCTGCGTGGCTCTTCTAGTCTAAAATCTAGAATAAATTCCTCCAATGGTAGATGTAGTCGAAATTTCCAGAAGTACGATACCGTTGCAACGTGGGCCTATCAATAGCAGCCAACTGTATGTGGATGGGCCAATCCGCGTTTATCTTTCCGTTGGTACGGATAGTACGAGACCAATCACCGCAGGCCACGACGAAATCTTTTCGTTAATATCCCGGTACCATGATCGGTTTGTAGTCAGTCATTCCTGCTTGTTCCTGTTGTTCGTTCAAATTTGCTCAAAGTGATTACACATTTTTACTTTGTTAAAAAAGGAGTGCACGTATAATTTGTGATCTGGTAAGTATTCCTCACGCAGTAAAACTTTGTCGTTTTCGTAATATGAAAGAATTACGAAAAATCACACTCGAGGCTTTATTGAGCGTCGATGATTCTTCATCTGCCACGTCTCACTCAAAAATTATAATTCACTCGAAGTACATTCGTTCGAAATTTAATTCGTTGCTTTTTCAGTTTCGCGAAAGGTATTGGACGTGATTGTTCTGTCGTTTGCATTGTTTTACGATAATATTTCAAATTCTCATGATTTCGTATGATGCAAGATGCATCGGAGTACACGTTCACCGAAATTAAATATTGTACGATTAAACAATCTTTATACATTAGATTAATTATATTTATTAACTATGTTTCCTTTTTTTGAAACGATCGTTTCATTTCGCTTAAAATTTTCATCCAAATTTTCAAAAGATTTTCTTACTGTATATGTCGCCGCTAAAATTTTTGATGGATAAGTTTCCTTTTGTTTACAATATATATAAGAAAGTACGTGAACGTGTTTTACGAAATCTTACCGATTAAAAGTATTAGATATCTTAAAGACAATTCCCAGGGGTTTTAAACAATTTTATTGACCGCTATCTATTTTTTTAGGGTTGTTTTTATATTAAGAAAAATGAAGGGAGCTAGAGCTCTATTTGTACTGGGCTTGATAGCCCTTGCTTCCGCAAAGGAAGAAAAGCAGAAGGAAGATATTGGAACTGTCATTGGAATCGACTTGGGTACAACGTATTCTTGGTAATATAAAGAAACTGTTCATTTCAAAGTCGCTTTTGATAAAGATATAAGCGTGTATTCGACGAAGAAATATTTTCACGATATATAATTATTTCAGTGTTGGAGTTTACAAAAATGGAAGAGCTGAAATCATAGCTAACGATCAAGGAAACAGAATAACACCTTCGTACGTGGCATTTACCGCCGATGGTGAACGTTTAATCGGAGATGCAGCGAAAAATCAGTTGACTACAAATCCAGAAAACACAGTCTTTGATGCTAAACGATTAATCGGTAGAGAGTGGTCGGATACCACGGTGCAGAACGACATCAAGTTCTTCCCGTTTAAAGTAATTGAAAAGAATAACAAACCGCATATACGAGTGGTGGTCAATGGCGAAGAGAAAATATTTGCACCCGAAGAGATCTCTGCTATGGTTCTCGGTAAAATGAAGGAAACTGCCGAGGCATATTTGGGTAAAAAAGTTACTCACGCGGTCGTCACTGTACCAGCTTACTTTAACGACGCGCAAAGACAAGTAAGCGTACAATACATGCTTCTACAGAACAATTTAGATTTAATTTCAAAACCATATACCAATCGATTGCTTACATTCATTTAGGCTACCAAAGATGCAGGCACTATTTCTGGACTCGTCGTCATGAGAATCATTAACGAACCTACAGCTGCAGCAATTGCTTACGGCTTAGACAAAAAAGATGGAGAGAAGAACGTTTTAGTCTTTGATTTGGGTGGCGGTACTTTCGATGTCAGCTTACTTACCATCGATAATGGTGTATTCGAAGTCGTGGCAACTAACGGCGACACTCACTTGGGTGGCGAAGACTTTGATCAACGAGTAATGGACCATTTCATCAAACTGTACAAGAAGAAGAAGGGCAAGGACATACGCAAGGATAGCAGAGCTTTACAGAAGTTGCGTCGTGAAGTTGAGAAAGCTAAGCGGGCACTTAGCGTTAGCCATCAAGTATGTAGAAGCTTTTTAGTAATAATGCTTTGTTTGGAAAAGAACAATGTATACTAATTAATACCTTCTTTCTTTTACGTAGGTGAGGATTGAAATCGAATCGTTCTTCGAAGGTGAAGACTTCTCGGAAACTTTGACGCGTGCGAAATTCGAAGAGTTGAACATGGATCTTTTCCGTAGCACCTTGAAACCTGTACAGAAAGTTTTAGAAGATTCCGACATGAACAAGAAAGACGTTGACGAAATTGTACTCGTCGGAGGATCTACTAGAATCCCAAAAGTTCAACAATTAGTCAAGGAATTTTTCGGTGGCAAAGAACCATCTCGAGGTATTAATCCTGACGAAGCCGTCGCGTATGGTGCCGCTGTTCAAGCTGGTGTACTTTCCGGAGAACAAGATACAGATGCTATCGTGCTTCTGGACATCAACCCGCTTACCATGGGTATCGAGACTGTAGGAGGTGTAATGACCAAACTTATTCCCAGGTAAAAACATATTCTTCTCTCTTATCGACCTCGTTAAAATTATTCGTAGATACAAATGCGTAATGTATTTCCCTTTTACTTGCAGAAATACCGTAGTTCCGACTAAAAAATCACAGATCTTTTCTACCGCGTCGGACAACCAACACACAGTTACCATTCAAGTATACGAGGGTGAACGTCCAATGACAAAAGACAACCATCTTCTTGGCAAATTCGATCTTACCGGAATCCCACCGGCACCTCGAGGAATACCACAGATCGAGGTCACATTCGAAATCGATGCTAACGGTATTCTTCAAGTATCCGCCGAAGACAAAGGAACCGGCAACCGAGAGAAGATCGTCATTACCAACGATCAAAATAGACTTACTCGCGAAGATATCGACAGGATGATCAAGGATGCTGAGAAATTCGCAGATGACGACAAGAAACTGAAGGAACGCGTAGAAGCGCGTAACGAACTTGAATCGTATGCTTACTCTCTGAAAAATCAACTAGACGACAAGGAGAAACTCGGCTCAAAGGTCAGCGATTCCGATAAAGCCAAGATGGAGGAAGTTATCGAAGAGAAGATTAAATGGCTCGAAGAAAATCCAGATACCGATCCAGAAGAATACAAGAAGCAAAAGAAAGAACTTACCGATATTGTTCAGCCTATAATTGCCAAATTGTACCAGGGTGCAGGCGGTGGTGTTCCACCGACCGGCGGAGACGACGACGATTTAAAGGATGAACTTTAACTATAACTGATCAGTGCATATATTATTTGTCCTAATTTAGACTGAATTTCACAGTCTCTCGTGCAAGTGCTGCAGAGATTAACCACGTCGTTGATACGTCGAGTATACAAAAGACTGATCGACGAGCGTTCGTTATTCATTAATTTGCATCGGAACTATACGTGGCGGTGATGATCATTCTTTGTATTGCTATGTAATGTATTTTGTCACGTAACATAACGGTCATTTTGATCCTCTTCATAAATGAAAAGAAACAAGAAGTACACTTAAGGGAAAGAATCGTGCTCTTCGGAGTAGCTTCTCTAATTTCTAGATAAGACTCCGCGCGTTAATTTATTTTTACTTAATTGTTTTATATGTTCTATTACATACATAATCGAATAACCAGTTGCGTAACTTACGTTACAGATTTTCAGCGTACGTGTGATTTAGAGTGATTGTTGGTGCAAATGGAGCATAATTTGCGTCTATTTACTGCCTGTAGAGAAACTACACGGTACTATGTACAGTATAGCTGTTCTGTATGAGTGAATGTCACATGTATCAGTATCACCGAAATAAACGTTTTTTCAATAAACCATACCAAAGAGATACGATACTCAATCGAAACACAAAAGACAAGAAAAATCTGTTTCCAAGATGGGTTTGAAACAAATTTTATTCGAAGATACAGTTTGATCGTATAACAAAAACAGTTGAAAATTTATAGATTTAATTATTCTCTATACCATTAATTGTCTATTGTGTCTATTTTATCGAAATATAATATTAACAGACGCAATAATAGTAATATAACATACTCGTTTCTTTTTTTTTTTGTGTAACTTCCTCATACTTTTTTGTTTGCTCGAAGCGACCCAGTCACTAAATATATTTTCGCTCGCGGTACAAAAATAATGTGGGATCCCATTAACAACCATTTTCTACAGTGGAAATTTTTTGCTGTAAAATTTTTGTATGGAGCATCACTTCTTTTAAATGTTTATCATCTACCAAAGTAATGTCTTCCGAAACGGAATTAATAATGTTAATACTATTCGCAATTTATACAGAACAAAAAAACTGCGTATATCCTTCTCGGGGTACCATTCTGTACATACATGTTTTCTTTTTTTTTTTTTTTTTTGGAACACGACAATTGTTACCGGAACGAATGAATAAATAAAAGTAAAATTGTTTTTTTTTTCGATCTAGTGGTTCTAGGAGGTCCCGTAACAAGTTTTCGCTCCGAGCCCCGTCTTCGTTAAGAGCGACTCTGTCTACTTCGCAGATCTAAAGTACTTTCGTTTAAAGTTCTTCGTCGCTTTATTAAAAAGTAGGGCCGAAAACGTAAGGCGTTCTATATGGAATTGTGAGATAGAATTTCAATTCTTTTCTCGCAATAATTAGTGCAACTTCGTCACGAATCTGATATTGCGATCAAGTACAAGGTATTTCGTTAAGTTTTGTACGTTAAAATTTAATATATATATATTTGTTTGGCATTGCTTCGAGACATTTATAAACGACGAACATTGAGCATTCCCTGCGCGAATCGTCGAACGAAAGATGCACTAAATACGCGATTACAATAATCTTTTCCAGTTTTCTTTTCTTTTCTCTATTTCATTAATCCTAAGGAACATGCTGTTGTCGTACTCGTGTGCACTCTGAGACTTTGATAATCAATATAAATTATCATACGTGAAACCAGAGACGGGTAAAATTCTTATTTGGATACAAATTTCGAATAACGAATAAAAGATTAACAGTCCGTCCGATCGAATAAACCTTGCGAATAAATTCATTTCATTCGTCATCCGTTATTCGAGAAAACAAATAAAATTTTGCCCATTTCTGCGTGAAACTTTGTTCGCTCAACTGTACATTCACAAGACAGACGATTTATACTTTCTGATCGAAATCAAACGTCTCGATTCTGGAAACCAAAGTATCATTTCTAACGAGGTTTGCATTATGTCAATGTAACGCGGCAATTTGTATTCTTTGTTTTTCTTTACGGTAAATGGTCTTCCTCATAGGTTTCTTTTCATTTGTTTAACTAATATGAACACATTTCTCTGTTTCTTCTCATTTCATTAGACTTAACAGTCCAATGAAATCAGGAGACTTCGAAACAGAAGCATTAGAGGTACAGATTTTACCTCAGGCGGTCTTTACAGTTCTCGGGTTTTCATAATTTTTCCCATATTTTTTTTTCTATTTTTCTTTTTTAACATATCGGACGTATTCTTATAATAGACCAGACCTGGACACTTTTGAAATAATATTACGTAAACTACTACATTAAATTACGTATCTCATTTCACGGTTACTTCATTTTGATGTGTAACGTAAATTTAAATAACAAAATATTCTTGAAAATAGTTGTTTTGAAATTTGACGAAATATAATAAATATACTTAATTCCTACTGTAAACGACGAACTAAAATATTATTTCAAATACATGTTTTTCATTTTCATTTTAAATAAAATTAGTCCAAGTCCGTAATAAACGATGATTTATGCTTGATTTAGGCTACACGATCGAAAAGAAACGTTAACTGATATCTATAAAATATCTATAAAAGATTCGTATCTTGAACAATTTTGCGAAATAGAAAAACTTTGAACTCGAAACATCGCGTGGTTATTAGAATACAGTATATATCGTTTGATAAAAGTTTCACAGATTTAGTACCGTTGGTAAGTCGATGAAAACTAATCGAATTTAACGCAGAAAAAATGGCAGTTGATAAATGACAGTGTCGATATTTAATTTAATCTTACTTTTTTTCAAATGGATAAAATGTAAGTAGAACAAACGCGAATACCGTGTTTCTCTTCGATCATTAGGTAAGAGTGAGTACAAGGTGTCCCATTGTTGATCCTAAAAGCTTAAAACGTGCAACGAAACGAATAAATTTTTTCCATCGACATTTCCTCGAAATCTTCGAAAGCACAGATATCCAGGACGATCGTAGGAAATGGGACACCTTATATATTCAGCTACTACATGTGTTATTAACGAATACAATAAGCTACAAATATAAATGTAACATACGTTCTTTTACTCTTAATGAGTAAAATAGTAAATCTATGCGCGATTCTTAGAACATTCTTCGAAAGAAATCTTTTAGATGTCATCGTTTTCGGCAAATGACGCAGATTCGAGTTCGTTTTTAATTGTATAAATAATCATAAGCGCATTAACGTTTCGAGAATCTTATTTAGGAAATGTTCCTCTAAAAAAATACTATTAGTTTCGATGACTTTCGTCGAATTCCGTACAACGTGTCGCGCAAATAAAGTTAATGATTACAAAATAAAACAAATAAGGGTATATAATATTTCCTTCCTAAGAAGGTACGTTCTAAATTTTATACTATTATAGTATGTTCTAAGAGATTCGCTTCCATTGATTATAAGTATATATATTTTTAGTAACGCGCCAATACGTAACGCTTAATATTTTCCGTACTACACGTAATTTGTGTTCTTTCCTCTTCGTTCGTAAAATGAAAATGCTGTTGTATTTTTATACTTGCGTGTATGTGTGTATGTGTGTGTGTGTGTGTGTACTGTACGATAGATATCGATCCATGGATTACCGAGCAGGCTACAAAGAACACGTGAATATTAAGCACTTAATTTAAACGTTTGTCAGACCTGAGAATTCATCCACGCTGTTACTTTTTAGCGACGTATCTTAAGAAGAACTTTGCTTCTCACTTTGGAAACCAAAAGGTTTTTAATGGCGGTAATTCAAGGATCGAGAAAGAATTAGAGGTACCTCTGGATACTGTCGTATTTGTTTTGCTTTTTTTTTCTTTTTTAACGAAAAAAATCGTTGCGTTAGTAAATATAGATATTAATCAACAAATGAAGCAGAAACATGGTGCGCCTCTGGCCACGTTTACTTATCATTTCACCTAGTTTGAACAATAATAATGTACTTTGTATCACAGTATTATATCAGTAGTTTATTTAGTATTTGTCGCATTTACTTTGGATATGGCAAATATGAAATATAACAGTAAAATTATACTAATGTAAGTCTATACTCTTTGGGGCTAAATGCATATCACAGTGGGAAATTTTTCAACGTTTTATTTATTTATTTTTTTTTAAATTCTTATTCGAATCACCAGAAGCGCACCAGTCCCAGAAATGTATTGTCTACGAAATCATATTAAATCTATATATCTTATTAAAAATATTACAGAAAGCTTTACCGCCAACCAGTGGAAATAAGCAGGCAATAATGTTAAAGTAGAAGTATCTTTTACCATTAGTTAAAAAAATGCACCTTAGGTTACTTTAGACACTTACTTGTATCTAATATACAGTCTTATCCTAATTTTTCGTTTAGCTGCGCAACTGACTTTATAAAATGAAAAGCGATTAATTAGTAAACGTGCATTTGTTTCCAAATAATACAAAGTGATCCATATTATTTTAAATATTTTCATTTATCTAATCAAACGATGATCGATCACAGATGTATCACATTCATTTACGTCATGATTATTGATTTGTTTGGATTAGCGCGGCATTCGTTTAAATAAATATTCAAAAAATTCATTGGACCACCCTTCAAAACAGAAATAAAATTACTATCGAATGTTACACAGCTCATCCTAAATGTTAAAGCATGCAGTAAATAGTATCCTATAATGTTGACGTGTTAGTATTTATATGACGTAATTATAATGTTAAGAGTTAGTAATGAAGCTAGTTGTTAAGTGCCGAGAAATTCTTTTCCTCGTTGTACCAAACTTAAATATGAACAAAGAGAACGTAAATAATTTCTTACGAGTATGACTTTGTACTAAAACTGAGCGTGTAATGTCAATTAACAATAATACGAAATCAAGTATTTTAAGCTACACAATTTTTTCGGCACTGTTTAAACAAATTTTGTTCAATTATTCGAATACTCGCATCTACCGTTTAACGATAATCCCCTTTGTTTTAATAATGGAATTTCAATGGATGTATAATAATTCTAAATGCACGAAAAGTTTGTATCGGATGGGATGTTAATCCTAATTTGAAAGTACTCTGTAGTACTTTGTATAACTATTGCATGCTCTGACTACTATATATGTATCAGACGAACAACATTCTTACGAAAATACTAAGGTATTCTTTAAAAGTCTGATTGCGATAATCTAAGTGTTTTGAAGTGTTTCTTAATTGACGATGTTATAAAAATGATTTAATAATTAAGTTACTGTCATTCTAAAAGCATCATAACTGATTAGCTAGTGTTGCTTACCAAAGAAAGAATTTGTATGCGTGCGATGATTAAAACAGAGACTTTGCAAACGCCTGTATAACTATGGGAACACTAGCGTCGAAACCATTAATAGTTAAAATACCATTGTCACGTTTTTCTTTGCGATAGGTTGAAGAAAAACATACAGCACAGTTTATTAATCTGAAAATAAACGAACAAATGAAATATGTCAATTATCGTTCGTTGAAAGGGTACTTTAGAAGGGACTCACTTTGTATTTGGAAGTTTCAGTTTTGTCCTGTATGCTTGAAGGGCTTCTTCGGAACTATCAGCTTTTTCTAATATTTGATCTACAACGTTAATAAATACGTCGTATTTATTATTCTGATAAGCAGCCCACGACATTGGTTTACCCAAATTGACATTTCCAACAGGCATCTGCTGTAATCGTCTCATAGCCTGGCCAAAAGAAGCTGTCTTATCAATGTTGACGGTATGAATTCCAACGTTTTTAAACGTCGCAACGGTGACATTCTTCTCACTGCGAAGAAGTGCAACTGCGATCATGCATCCTGCTTCCGCACCGTTCACATTACTACTGCGCCAAGTATGTCTTTCTAACATCACTTTATTCATATTGATTGTTACCATGTACCGTAACCCAGTCGGTTGAATGTGCTGTAAAAATATATGTAGTAATATAACGATCGAACGGAAGTAATGTAAAAAAATATTTATACTCACATGAAACGAAAGATTTAACATTTTATAAAGAGCATCAATGATTTTAGAATTCGGTTTAGTTGGAGTTGGCGAAGGTTTATCGATTTGTTCTTTGATTTTTCGTTTTTCGTATGACAATGGCCTTCAGAAGAATTTGAATTAAGCAACATTAACGACTACTTATTACTCGATTAACGACTACTTACTTTCCAGAGTTTTCGTAATCCCTTATCGTTATTAAAACTAAAGCTGGGTGAACCTTATCTCTAGTAATGTATTCTTCGTTAGTGATTTGATCTACTATTTTAGAAACTGTTAAAGCATTCGGTTTCAATAACTGGAGATTATGAATTCTTTGCAAATTGTTTAAAAGTGTAACTAAATTCATCGACGGTATCAATGCGTTCCAGACCTACGGATAAAAATTACAATATATACGAGATACATCGGATACAAGAATATCAAAGAATTCTTATTTTCATTCTGTAGTTTTACCTCTTTAGACTTTAACAAATGTCCAGGTACATGATCTAACGTTAATTTATATATTTCCAAAAGACCTGCCGCTTGAATTTCGTCTCTACAGTGTTTAAAATCTTCGACGTGTTCAATGTATTCTACTATTTCTGTAAATCTGGAATCTTCTCTGTAAGTTTTTTTTATCTCATCCACACCACGTACTACATACTTGAGGACCACTTCTATCGCTAATTAAAAATATATAAAAAATTCATTAATGGTTAAACGCGACGATCTACTTGACGATTACATCGCGATAAAATACGTACCAGGATTATTGGGTACAGGATGCGACAATTTTATAATATCTTTATGTTTCCATCCATATCTGCCTTTGTACCTTGTCACACATTTTGCTAATTCCATTGGAGTTTTCGATAAATACCAATTATTTACAGCTTTTCTTAAGCCTTGGCCCCATCCATGTTTCGTACTACCAGCTGCATCGAGTTCCTTTTGTTTACTTATTTGGGAAGCAAATTTTATGAACAAAATAAAATGTTGCGGCGATGAACAGATTTTATCTACAGCTGCGTATGCTGCATGTCGTAAACCTTCGCTTTTCATTTGCCTACAGCAAACAGCAAGAGCAAATACTAACGTTTCTGGATTTGGAACAATGTTACTTTCAAATGCCTAAAAAGCAAAATATTACCAATATATATCATTTACATGTAACGTTTTCCATAGATTCTAAAATCTTACCTTCGTGATTATTTGAACTGGTAATAACTGTTTCTCTGTATTTTCGGCTAATTCTTCTATAGACGGAACATTTCTAGCCAAAAAGTAATTGTGAACAAACCAGTTTCCAGGTTGATAATCCGGATATTCTTTCCCAACATAAAGAAACTGTGCTAGTCGTATCTCAGGATCGTTTGGATCCAACTGTACAGCCATTTCTTAATTCACAGTTCTACAAAATATAATTTATAAACTTTGACACAACATGCTTTTATTATTTTGTTCCTATTATTACTATTACTACTGCGTATAAATTTATTCACAGATAGTTAGAACATATTTATTTGAAAAGCAGACCAGGTGTTCATGACCACTTTAAATATATTATTTTAAATCCAAGATCTTTACACGTTCAATTCATAATGGAATATACAAACAGATATCACTGGATGACCTGATAAGGTAACATGAAAATACGGAATACTAATGTACGATCCAGTTTTGTATATCGCACATACAACTACATATCGTGCACAGTTAGAAAAGCCTTTTGTCATCAGTTGTTGTCACGAACAATCGATCCCTATTACCTTTTGTCAATCGAGAGGGGAACAATTTGAAATACAATCATACAAAGCGACGTTTATGACGTGCAAAAACGTACTTGAGCATGTACCGACGGAAGAATTTACACGGTCCGTGAAGATCTCAAGTCAAGTAACAACTGGTAACAACACAAAAGCTCATTGACCCCTAGAAAGCCGTGAATGCTTCGACAACATAAACGCTTTTGAATTCTCAAACAAGATTATATATTTCTCATGTTAGCTGATATTTTGCATCTCGATATCGTTTCTTTTTTCTTCTTTTAGTTGAAATTCGGTTGATCTTTTAAGTACTTTCAAATAACTTTTTTTTTGCCACAGCAGTAACAAGTAACAACAGTCTTTACGATACGTATTCTATTCACCATAAAGCAATAGTGAATATTCGCTACATGCGTATACACGTTTAACGTTCGTGTAGTTACAATGAATATTCAAATGTTACTCTTTTTTTAAGAATTCTTTAAATGACTTCGCGTGTAATACGATAAGATATTTTTTTATGGAAGTATACAATCATAATTACAAGATATTTGTATGTATGAAAGAAAAGTTACCAGGTTCCTACACTTTGGGTGCATCTAGAAAGACCACCGCTCACTGAGCGGCTCAGTGAGCGGGTTTTAATATTAGTGGCGGTAAACAGTGATGGGCAAAACCCTAGACTTCGAATAAATCTGAAGTTTGCCGATATGTTTGTCTCGTTTCCTCTTTTGAACATTTTCCAAAGAAGGAAACGAGACAAACACATCGGCAAACTTCAGATTTATTCAAAGCCTAGGCGACCTAGGGTTTTGCCCATCTCTGGGCGGTAAAAGACTTTCTAGCGGATCTAAAAGAAGAATGTTGAAATAGTTTCAAAGAAAAGGCAATGGAAACAAGGAGAGAGAAGGGAACTCTCTTTATGAGAGAAATAGGACCAAATTACAAGAGAGCAAGATATAAACCTAGGTTTATAAAATACAAAGATAAATTAGATAGACCAACAATAAGAACTATCTCAAGGATCAGGTGTAATCACTATAATTTAAGAGCATCGCTTCCAAGGAAAGAGATAGTAGAAGATTCAACTTGTCCATGCGGCTAGGAATATGAAGATATAGACCACGTCTTATTTGAATGTGGGCTATATAATGTGGAACGAAACATCATATGGACAATATGGACAATATGACAAGAAATTGAGAAAGTGGGGAAGTCAGCAATCGAGTTAATAAAATGACATAAGGTTAAAGTATACAAAACATTGAACACTTTTCTAAAAAGTATCAATAAGACGTTATAAAAAAAAAAACCAACAAACAAAAAAGGAAGAGTATTGGATACTCAAAGAAGCATGAAACTGCCAAACACTACAGAGGAAGCGTGATAAGGGTATACTAAAATAAAAGGAGTAACCAAAGATTAAAAGTACAAAGAAAGTTCCTATTTAAAATTAGTCTTGAAAAACATATATAATAGTAAAATCTAGTAGAAAATTTAAGGCATATACAGTATTATATATGTACATTTAGAATAAAAAAAAAGGAGATCAACATGAAGACTGAATAGTACTAGGTTAAAAGAAAAAGTACATAACTTTACAAAAGATTATATATATACCAATTATATATATATCAATTAGAAAGTAAACCAATTTTATATATATATATTATATTATATAGTAACTTAAATTATGCATATATATATATATATATATACAAAATATATATATATATATATGCATAATTTAATAGAATTTATATATATATATATATATACAAAATAGACAAGTTACTATTCCTATATAAATTCTATTAACATAATATAATAAAGAGTTTGACAACCTCGACTTACAAATTAAAAAGTTTATTGTTTCGTTATTCCTTATTGCGATTAGTTTTGAGAAGTATATCAATTAGAAAGTAAACCAATAAGAATAATGATTAAGTAATATTATTGTAAAAAGTTTAGGAGAAAAAATGTACAAAGAGAGCAGCACATGGTAGTGCAAAGTACTACTCCGAATGTACGCACTTTAATCCAATAAAGTCAATAAACAAACGAACATATCAGTGGCGCCATCGGTGGTAAAACGCCCAAGTTTGTAACGAAAATAGTTTTCACTCTTGCTGCTAGATGGCGTCACAAAATAAAGGGTCGATAATTATTACTAACCAAATAATTGTTTAATAAAACGATCTATTTGACGTATTAACTAATATATTGTAGTGCTATAAAGCAAAGAATCGTAGTAATTATGCATTTACAAGAAGTAAAGAATAATTGATTAAAATGTATCGGTGGCGTCATGTAGCAGCAAGAGTGCCAACTATTTTCCCTACAAGCTTGGGGGTTTTCTCACCGATGGCACCACTGGTACTTTCTTTCTTTCTTTCTTTCCTTCTTTCTTTCTTTCTTTCTTTCTTTCTTTCTTTCTTTCTTTCTTTCTTTCTTTCTTTCTTTCTTTCTTTCTTTCTTTATTTATTTATTTATTTATTTATTTAAGGTGTTCTAGACACTAGGGGTCTATATTACACCACAATGCGGTACAAAATTTCCATCGGTAGTAAAATCTGCTCTCAGATCAGCTAAACGAGCGGTTTTCCTTTTCCAGATGCACCCACTGCAACGCAACATAATGGTGTTGTTTTCTTTCAAAGGAAGACGCTAGGGACGCCGCTAAGTTTGAGAAAATAAATTTGCACACCCGGAAAAAGTGAATAATAGATTAATATAAAATGTATATCAATAATTCTCAGCATAAATACTACTAATAAGAATCCGACGTATGTAATAACAAATCGTACTTTCTCTCGATCGAGACACTTTTGCAATTCCATTTTCGACGTTCGAATGAATCGTAATGCATTCGAACGAAATACGTAGTTTGCGTTTGAAGTTGTAATAAAAACTGTTTAAATAGAATCGATTTTTTGTTCTCATTTTAATGATCGTGTTTTCCGTCTTCGCGCAATAGTATAGAGGGTGTCTCGTGTTGCGTGATTTTCGGCGTTGATTTCCATTGAAAATTGGGTATGTGAAACACAGTTTTTTTAATGGTATTATATATAGTAATATACAGTGGGTGTAGAATGTATTCGTACACCGATCAATTTCCCAAAAAACTTTTGTGTGAAATTGTAGTTTCTTAACTTCTTTTTTTATAATCAATGATATTTTACATATTCTCGGAAGTCTCTAAGATAGATATAGTCCAAACAACATTTACTAGTTGATATAATTTGTAAAATTAACAAAAGAATGCGAAAAGTGGGTAAAAGTATAGAAGCAATCAGTATTTGTACGATTCTTATGACGAACCATTTACAGTAGAGTTTGTAACGTAAACACATTAGTTTATTACTCCGTACGAATTAGAAAACATCAAATTTCCAGTAAAGCATTAGGTTGTCCCGAAAGTTTCTTTCGTTTTATTAATAATTAATATATACATAATATTTTATGTTTTATGTTACATTACTGATTTGTGTATGATTCATTTTGCTTCATTACTGTTACAGCATCAATGTCTAAGCAATTAGATTGTCTATTTATATAAACACTGCCACAGAAAATAATTTAATGTAACTCACGAAAGAAACTTTTGTGACAACCTAATACTTTTAACAATGGCTCTAATAGAGGAATGGTAAAAGATTCCACTTCGAATAACTAATAATTTAGTTAATTTAATGCTTAGAAGAGTTACAATAATTATAAAGTCAAAAGGAAACCCCACGAAGAAAGTATTATATACTTGTAAATTAATGTAAATTTCTTTTTTTTTAATGAAGTTTTAAAAATTAAACAGTTGTGCGAATACTTATTGCTTCAATATTTCTATCGATTAATTGTTTTTTCCTTGTTAATTTCGCAACTTACATAAATAGCTAATTTTTTTTTGTACTCTATCCATTCTAGAGATTTCCGAGAATATGTAGAATGTCATTGTTTATAAAAAATAAGTTAATAAATTACAATTTTACATAGTTTCTTTGGAAATTGATCGGTGTACGAATACTTTCTACACTCACTGTATGCCTTGGTAATTTTCAAGAGAAGTTATCGTTCCGTATATCACATAATATTATATAATTTATTATCTAAATAGTACATAATATGCAATTTTTGTATAAGATTAAATTATTTGTTTTTTCCGTCGAATTTGCTTTAATCGAGTTCGATTTCTCTCCGAACAGGGAATCACTTCCATAGGAACGTAATTTTATAAGGACACCCTTGCGATACGTAAATGCGTAAACTGTCACAGCGTGTATGTCAACCGGGTCACTGTCAGCAAGGATGTGACCACGTCAGTATCGATTCACCCTGGCACCTGCTATGTTGTGCCGTTAGATTCCATCTGCAAACTTGGAATCGTCTCTGTCGCATTACAGTGTAAAAAATACAAATGTAGTCTTGGTTTTCATCGAAGGATGCTCTTCTCCCGCGCTTTACTTGTTGCAACGGTCGTCTGGTTGCAACACTGCACCCGTTGCGTCGATAGTCAAGGTACGCGGTTACTCGAGTTCGCTTTTCAAACGTAAACGATAATTCAACGACGCGTAAAAAAGAAAAGAAAAAAAAAATTACACAAACGAATTAATTCGTTCGTATTTATTCGGCGGTTGTTCGCTCGTAACAATTACACTGGCGAGTAAAAAAGACTTAAAGGCTTATAAGCATCGGGGCTAGATAACGATTCGAGGTGCCGATGATAAGGAAAGCAGAGAGATGGAGAAAGGAACGTATTATTAAATTTAATCGGTCGAGAAAATATTATCAAATTGAAAATAATTTGTTCCTTAAGCATTTGTCGAAATTATTTTAGTATTCGTAGACTGATATTTAAGTCCCCCTCCCCCAAGTCCACAGCCTTACTTATTGTTAATCTATATCTACATTCGTATTCTTGTTCATAATTCGTAGCCATTTTCATCCAGATGAAAAGGAGGGTGTTAAGAAATGGCCATTTTTGGCATCGCCTGGAAATGAAAAATTCATGGAGGATCTTTTAGAGTGTCTCCCAAGGAACAAAAAATGTCGGTATCACTTTCCCGAGAAACGATGGAAAAGTTGTCAAAAATACGTTCAAAGTATGAATGTGATGATAACGGAACTTGCGTATATTTTACATTTCGTCGTCTTCTTCTTCGGATATCGAACCGTCTTCGAAATAAGTATTAAGGAACTCAGCAAATCGAGCAAATCCAAAGTACCATATAATCATGGCTACATGGGAACAGCAACCAACAACGCGTACTCCGACTTTGCATCCACATGAGTGTGCAAGTATGGCTTCCAGTGCGGTTTTACTTTTATCAATTAGTACATGTACAAAGTATTTTAAACTATTTGAATGTCGTGAATGCAGTTTCGTTTGAAGTAAAATGGCGTTAATTGGTTCCACATCAATCTGGTATTTTTTTAAATCAATATTGTACGATGGTACTGCGACTTGAAATTCAAAATCTCCGCTGTCATTTATATGGCCGGCGTAATAACCAGATGCTTGGTTATTCATTTGGTATGTTCCACATGCGTATAAGT